ATTAATTCCAGTCATTTGTTAATTCTCTACTATGTGAACAGCAATGTGCTGGCATTAAGGGTATGTGAAACTGTTTATTTTCAATGAAAGAACACCGACATCTAATTGTGCTTGCCAGGCCAGTTGTAGCAACATCAAGACAAGCTGGCAGTACCAAGTCATCTCCCGGATGGCATGATCTACTTTTCTCTTTCTCAGTATCCATACTCTTGATTTACTTTAACCATCACTCTCAAATAAAACTATCACTTTACAGCTTTCCTTTTTATGTGGTACCACCATCCACACATATGCTCACACAAAAACTTAAAATTCATCATTAATACTCCCCTTTTTGTCACCTTGCACACTCAAACGCCAAATCCCATTGTCTTCTTTTTAAAAAAAGAGAGAGAGAAAGAATTTTTTAATATTTATTTTTTAGTTTTTGGTGGACACAACATCTTTATTTTATTTTTATGTGGTGCTGAGGATCAAACCCAGCACCCCACGCTTGCCAGGCGAGCTCGCTACCGCTTGAGCCACATCCCCAGCCCCTATTGTCTTCTTTATTTCTTCTGCCATCATTCTGATCCAAAGCACCCTAAATATGAAGTAGCCTCTTATTCTCTCTGCTTCCATTCTTGTCCCTCTACTGTTGCAATAGACACAAATCAAATCATATTTCCTTGCTTTAAAACCACTTTCCATTGTTCTTAGAGTAAAAAACACACTTCCCATTTCCCTTTTTATTGGTGCATTATAGTTGGACATAGTAGAATTTATTGTTACATATTTGTATATGCACACAATATAACAATATATTTTGGCCAATATCATAGCCCAGTATTTCCCCATTAGCTCCTCTCTTCCCTCTCCCTGGTCCTTTTCCTCTATTCTACCAAGCTCCCATTGATTTTCATGAGACCTTTCTCATCTTTTTTTTTCCCTCTCTAGCTTCCACATATGAAGAAAACATACAACCTCTGACCTTCTGAGTTTGGCTTATTTCACTTAACAAATCATCTCTAGTTCTATCCAAAGAAAAACATCATTTTTCTTTGTGGCAGAATAAAACTCCACTGTAAATATATATCACATTTTCCTTTTTTCATTCATCTGATGATGGACACCTAGGCTAGTTCCATAGTTTGACTATTGTGAATTGTGCTGCTGTAAACATGGTTATGCATGTTTCCCCATCATATGATGACTTTAATTCTTTAGGATAAATTCGGAGGAGTGGGCTACCTGGGTGGTTCCATTCCAGGTCTTTTGAGAAACCTCCATACTGATTTCCATAGTGGTGTACCATTTAAAAACCCCACCAACAGTGTAAAGTGCTCCTTTTTCTCCACATCCTATAATTATTATTCCAGAGATTGAACCCAGAGGAGTTTAACCAC